CCTAAACCCTATCACCCTGAACCCTAACCCAAAATCCTACACCCTACACCCTAAACCCTGAACCCTAACCCAAAACCCTAAACCCGACATGAACCACTAAGCTGGCGACCCTAAACCTGAAACCTTCAAGTCCTAAACCCGAAAGCCCTAAGGTTTATATAATATTATAGAATCCCCCAACCCAAATTTCCTACTGTAGGGTTTAGGGTTTCGAGTTTAGGGGCGTCGTGCTTGAAACCCTTTTCCCATGGCTTGACAACTCGAATCCTCACGCCGAAACCATTGCGAAGCCTAAACCCTAAACCCGCACCCTGCACCTCGGAAGAGGGTGCCTTTAACCGGATTCCCCCAGCATTCTATAAGGGCTACTATCGAGGACTTAGGGGTACAGTGGCCTTAGTAATTAGAACAAAGTGTTTATGCGGAAGGGGGGGGTGGAATCTTATACAGTAGCATACCGGAAAATTACACCCTAAACCCTAAACCTTACCAAAATATGCCCTTAGCCTCGTCATTCAAGAAACGCTGAGTCCGACGCCCTAATGAGGTTTGGCTTTACCCCTCAGTTCAGAAGACCCTGGACGCAGAACACCTAAAATGACGATACTGAAAAGTTAAATAGTGCCCTTTCTAACACCTCTTATAACCAACTAGTAACCTAAAAACCGGCCTCAACCCTAAACCCAAACCCCCCACGCCTAAACCCACAACTCTCAACCCTGACACGCTCAACCCCAAATCCTAAACCCGAAACCCCACGACCTGAAACCCTCGACCCCTAAACCTGTGACCCTCAACCGCCTCAACCCTACCCGTGCCTGCCAGCGCTTCGCAAACCTCGCGATGATCGCCCTTTCGTCGTCATCCGGAGCCCACCCCTTTGGCTTCTCCTGGGTTTCGCATTAAAGGCTTCAGTGCCTAACATTTCCTAAGTTGGGCTTTTAGGGGCTTTGATAGGGCTTACGGTTTTCAGGTTCTTCAGCGTTTCTGGCTTCTGGGTTTGTTTCAGGGTTTGGGACTTCGCAGTGTCCGGCTTATAGTTCAGGGTTTAGGGCTTGTTGGGTTTACGGTTCTAGGCGTGAGATTTGCTATGCTCACGGAAGAGAGGCAGATCACATCAGATGAGCGACAGGCCAACGGCACGTGGTCCGAGGTTAGCAGCTACGTCCCCAAACTTAGGCTGCATTGCGCAACCATAAATCCCGCCCCCTAAACCCATGCACCCAGAACTCCCCGAAGCCTTGAGCCGAGGACCAGAAATTCTTTTCGAAACCCTGAACCAAAGCATTCTTCGTAAACCCTACACCCAGGAACTCTATGAAGCTCAGCACGGCGAGCCAGAAACAGCACAAACATAAAATACTCGAAGAAGCCTCTAAGAATAAGTTCTTAAGCCATTGTAACTTCCATGGGGCGGGAACCTAAGTGCGACTCTGGTTTTCCACGGACACCGCTACTATAGTTGCAGCAAGTAGCACTGTTTATGCTGCACATATCGTGATCTTTCTGCTTGCTGATATCAGCAGCATCACTGGTTAATCTTCCTCCTGTCTGTTCTATTCTCTAACTCAACGCGCCAAGAATCAAAAACTTGAAATCTAAACGCTGGGCCCAGGCATGATAGGTAGTAGGATGCAGAAAGGATCCCCGAAAAAGACGATTTCCAATCTTCGAACATCCTGCAGTAGGTAGCAAGGACCTACTTCAAATCATCAACGGCTACTTCATTCCGGAGTATAAGTTTCTGAAGCACCATGATGGCCCCGAACACGCAGAAGCTCTAAATGTTGGCAAGACCTTCAGGATGCCCTGCCCCTCTTCAAACCTTGTCTCCCATCTCTCCCTAAAGTTTAAACCCTAAACCCTACCTATAGTCTCCATTCTAGTTCCTTTTTTTGGCGTAACCACTTATATATTCAGGATTTCATAAGGTATCCCCCAAAAAGGAACTACCATGGAGACTATAGCTACAAACCCTGTACATGGTGCATGCGAAGTCGCGTCGGGAGCAGTCGCATTGGGAGCCACCATCGGCTCTTCGGTTGGGGGCTCTTCCGAGGCTCCCGAACGCCGGTCTGGGGTGCAGGCAAGACAGCGATGCACAGTGCAGGCACATTAGCTCTATTTCTCTCGCTAACTGGACTTGCTGTATATGTGTGTATATTATATATATATATATACACATATATATACACACACATATATATATATATATATATTCACATACACATAGACACGCGAACAAACAAACAAACAAACAAACAACCAACCAAACAAGCGAACACAAACACGCAGGCAAACAAACAAACAAGCAAACAAACACACATACAAACAAACATGCATACATATACACAGGTACACTAACATGTCTGGGTGTGTACATGTGTGTTCATATGGAGGCTCGCGCAGTCAAACGAACACACACACGCACACACACACTGGCATACACACATTTACATACATACATATATACATATGTACATACATACATACATACATACATACATACATGCATGCATGCATGCATGCATACATACATACATGAATACTTACATGCATACATATACATACATATACATACATACATACATACATACATACATACATACATACATACATACATACATACATACATACATTACATAAATACATACATACATACATACATACATACATACATACATGAATACTTACATGCATACATACATGCATACTTATACATACATACATACATA